TACTCCCCTGGGTGTTGCCTGTTGTCTGTGCTGACCCCTGAGCCCACAAAGAAGTGGGAAGGTGTAAAGTGTCTCTTGGATGTGTCCTTAGGCATCTATCGAGCAGTACCTATTCGGGTCAATCCAAGAGTAAGCAATGTGAAGTCTGTCTACAAAACCCACATTGATGTTATTCACTATCGGAAGACGGATGCAAAACGTCTGCATGGCATGGATGAAGAAGCAGAACAGAAACTTTTTCCAGAGAAACGGGTGAAATTGCTTAAGGAACTTTCCAGGAAACCAGACATTTATGAGAGACTTGCTTCAGCCTTAGCTCCCAGCATTTATGAACATGAAGACATAAAGAAGGTAACAGTGTAGTTTTTACCTTGGGATTGAGATTCATATAGTTCTTTGTGATTGAGTTCTAAAAATTAATCTGACACGTGGCAGTCAAATGGCAGCACATCTCCCAAGGATAAGAGCTGTTGACCGTGGGACAAAGCAAGGCACTGGCCCTGCTTTCTGCCTTGGTTGTGGGTTGAGTGTTAAGTTTCGTTGACTCTGTATGCATCCCTGTGCTGAGTTTATTCATATTCCTAGACATAAGGGGCCACATGGGGTCAGAATGAGAATTTATGGTCTCAAGTTCTAGGGTGATGTTGGGAATATGTCACGTGGTTTTTATTATACTTTCAGTTAACAAAGTAGAAAAGTGCCTCCAAAATGTAAACCAAATCTGTTATTCTACAGCAAATAAATGTTTAGATGTATGTGTGGTTTTAGGGAATCTTGCTTCAGCTTTTTGGTGGAACAAGAAAGGATTTCAGTCACACAGGAAGAGGCAAATTTCGTGCTGAGATCAACATCCTTCTATGTGGCGACCCTGGCACCAGCAAGTCCCAGCTGCTGCAGTATGTGTACAACCTGGTCCCCAGAGGGCAGTATACATCTGGAAAGGGCTCCAGTGCAGTTGGCCTCACAGCCTACGTGATGAAAGACCCAGAGACCAGCAGCTGGTCCTACAGACAGGTGCCCTTGTCCTGAGTGACAGCGGCATCTGCTGTATCGATGAGTTTGACAAGATGAATGAAAGTACGAGGTCAGTGCTGCATGAAGTCATGGAGCAGCAGACTCTGTCCATTGCAAAGGTGAGTCGTGTCGTGATCTCCACTGTGGCTGCAGACATGATTAGATAGCCTCTGCAGAACTGTGTGTGCACAGCCTTGCCCTGGTTCTAATGGAGGGAAAGTGATGAATACTTTATAATAAGTTTCAGCCAAGCTTATATAGAGGGGTAACATTATCTTTTGCTGTGTTTGCTAATATGTGGTACTCATGAACTTGACTTTATGCTAAGGCTGCCGCCAATATTGTTTGCTTCCTGAAAAAAAGAGTGGCTCAGGTTGCTTCGGAGAAAGATGTGGTTCAGTTCTAGGCATGAATCTGGGGTTGGGGTACCATCTGTATGCCACTGAGAAAGTCAGTGGAGGTGATGTGTCTCTTAGGTAGCAAGAACAGAACAAATGGAGTTTTGTAAGAGGTCAGGTGAGGATGACTTTCTTCCTT